TAGAGGATGTGTTTTATTTAATTTATCTGTTGTATCAGAACCAATATCAATTTTTTGTTTTTTATTTTTAAATATATTAACTTTTAATTCTTGATATTCTTAAATTGTGCCTACAAACTTTCTTTTTTTTTGTTGAGAAGTATATTCACTGTCATCAAAATCAGGTTTAGATAATTCCTTTTTTATATTATTGTCAATTTCAAAATGTTGATCTTTTAATTGTAATAAATCTGAATCTGAAGCACATATTTGTTGTTTATAATCAAATAATTCTTTGCAATGCAGATAATCTCGTAAATAATGTTTTTTAAATTCAGAGAAAAATCTACGCCAATAAACTTGATTATTTTTGATTATAACTTCTCCTGGTTTATCTTTGTTAAGTTCTTGGACAATTTTTTTAAATTCTTTAGTAGTATACTCGCATTTGCCATATTCGAGATCCCAAATCATTTCACAAAAATCAGATTCTGAACTATTATGAAAGATGAGTTGTGTTGTACATGTTTCAATATCATCATTTTATTCACTCTGAAACTCAATTATAAAATCAAGTTGTTAATTAAATTGTTTCCAGTTATGCTATGTGAATGTTTCATCATCTATGTTTCTTTGACCAAAATTAAAAGCTTCTTCTGGTGGTTTTTGTGATGTCATAAAAATATACTTTGCTACAAAAAATACAAAACTTTTTCCCTTAATTTTAACCTCTTCATCTGTATTATTTAAATATTTAACTATGTTATTCTAGTCAAGACATGAATACCATTCATCAAATAATACTATTGAATGATCAAAATAACCATCTTACCAATTAGATCCTGAGCATTGTTTCTTTTTCTTATTATATATTTCTGAATGAAATAATTTTTGAACAAGATTTGATTTGCCAGCACCACCCTCACTATAAAAATAAAATGTTACAGGATGCCAAGATCTTTTTGATTAAGTTTTGCTTTTTGCTTTAGCAATCTCAGTTTCTATTAATTTTGCCTGAAATAAATTGTTGCTAAAAGGAACAATATCTTTATTCTTTTTTAACTACATCTAAAAGTGTTACACCATTTAAAAGCATATTATATCCATCGATTCCTATATTGTGAATGTGGAATTGTTTTTTTAATATTTCTCATACAAATCAGATTGATCTCTGGATTGTGCCAGATATCTATATTCACCAAATTCCCATGGACCAACTACGTCTTTTAGTAATAAATTTCTATCTAAATTAGTCCATTGTGCCCAAGTTCTTTTCATAATACAACTTTTATCACATACATTACAAATATTTTCACATACCAAAAAATCACAGCAATATTTTTGTATATGTTTTGG